TTATGGCTCAATTGAAAGAATTAATGGCGGCGGTCTGCGGCAGATTTAAGTGGCGACAAAGTTTGTGATTTACGGCGTTTGTCGCCCGCAACATTTCACACAAAAACTCCCCCTACAACAGACCGAGCTTATTTTTGTCGGAACTTCCATTCTTCAAATCCACAGTCTGTATATATTATCCACATAGAACATTTGATTCTGAATTCTATTGACTTAACTGAAGGCAGGATCTATAAATAACGTTATTTTAGTTCCTAATATATATATATTATATTTTAAAAAAAATAGATTTCTGTTGTATTTTGGAATTAGGTTGATATATTGAATTATTATTATTTGTTGCTTGATTTTGGTATCGATGAGTATCATTATGATATTGTTCTGCAGTCGTGGCAATAATAATCTGGAAAATATAAAGTCTAAAAATAGTTTTGATCAGAGATTTCTTTTATTGAACTAAAGGAATATATATTTAAAAAAACATGGTTTGATAAAAGTACTGCCTGGCTTAAGGCGTAAGAATAAAAAATGAAATACTTATTTACATATTTTACAAAAGGTTGAGCCGGCCATCGGGAAAGAGCAACAACGAGTTTATATATGCAAAGCGTGACCTGTGGCGGTCGATTTAACAGAATATTTGAATCTATGATATATAATTTTAAAAATAAAATAATATTTTTATATAACATATATATATTAAATAGAGCAATCCATAAATAAATCTTAAAATAAAAAGGCATATATTGGATCAAAATTTCATTTATTTTACCAATACAGAAGGTGTTCACACTTATAGGAAACGAGCGCCCGGTGTAAAAAAGGAACTATTACTTTATGTTAAAAAATCAACAACGTGGAATTCGAAAAGGCTTGAGCTAATTCTAACACGCAATACATATCTTTTGTTATTTAAAAAAAATGCCCTTCAAATACAATAATTTCATAAGAGGTTATATTTTAGGACTTTCCAGAGCTAATCTTACCTATTTGGACATAATTAAAATATGCAAACAATATGATATCATAATTTCTAAAAAAGGTATTTATAATATTATACACGACAAAAATATCAAGTTTTTATTCAAAGCACCTACGGAGAAATGGACAAAAGATTATCACGCTATATCTGTGATAACTCCTGCATCTGTCAAAAAAGTGAAAAAACTAGACAATTGACAATTTAAACAATTTTATTGATTATTTCAATCAAATTTTACAAAGGAGAAAATATAAAAGAGTAAATGGGCATATAAAGTGTAGGGGAATATATATATACAAATATCTTCAGCAAGGAAGGCTTCCCCACCTTGAGAGAGTCCTCCTCCAGACAAGGAGGAGGTCTTCTTGTACACTCCTCAGTTCCGCGCCGAGGAAGTGCCTATAGATGCGCGTCTTGGCAGACGCCAGGATGGTCAGGGCGTCATCGTCTAGGTCATGCCCGAAGACCCAGCCCTGCAGGTCAGGGGGCCGCCCGATGATGGTAAATGCCTCCCGGATGAGAGGCCTGATGTAGCGGCAGGACCAGTACCTGTGAACCAGCGACAGGTCGCCGGACCCACAGGCGATGCAAGACTGTTGTGCCGATGCTGGATGGGCTGGATGGGGTAGGGCGTGCAGAGCTAGCCAGACTGCCACGTCCGCGTTGTGCCCGGAGAAGGCGCAGCGCCGGAGCGACGACCAGCCGATGTTGATGGGTAGGTTTATATTATTCTCCCACCTTCTAGCGAACTGGATGATGGGCAGGGCAGTCAGGCGTGGACGCTCTAAGATGCGACGGGCAGTTCGGGTGATGACTCGCAAGAACGGCGTAGTCGTCCCGCGCAGCACTACGGCCTGGCCGATGGTGTTTACTCGGTAGGTCCCGCGTAGATTTTCGTCGATAAGACGACGGCAGAAGCTGGTCAGCGACGCGGCGTCAGCCAGGGCGCAGCGCGTAGGCCGAGTGAGGGGAGGGGCAGGGCCAGCGAAGTCCCCAATGCAGGCATTGACCCACCGGGTAGGAGAGAGAAGGTCGGGTGGCCGGAGAACTAAAATGGCATGAAAAACTAGATTACAAAAGAAAATCCTATGCCACAAAGAGATATAGCCAAATTAATAGGAACATCAGTGTCAACAATAAATAAAATAATAAATAAAGATTTAGGCCTAAAATCTACAAAAAAACATGCGGTTCACAAATTGTTTCAGAGCCATATTCGTCAGCGACACACTATCAGCAGATATTTTTATGAAAATTTCTTGGCTGCTGATAGATGGAAATTTATTGTTACATATGACGAAGCATGGGTATATTTAACCGATTGCGACAGAAAAAGAGCTATATACTATCAAAGAATGGTGGAAAAATATAGGCCAATTTGGTTGAAGGAATGTGCCGAAAGTTACCCCAAAGGATTTATGGTGGCATGCGGTATATCATATGAAGGAAAATTAAAAATAAGAAAAGTTGAAAAAAATGCCAAAATAAACACGGAGTACTATCAAAACAACATTTTAGAACCTATATTTTTAAATGATATTCCCTCTATCTATGGAAAACAGAGCAACAAAGTCTGGTTTCACCATGATAACGCCACAAGTCATACCTCATCTTCAACCCAAGCTTATTTGGAAGATCTAAGGCAAAGAACAGGAATCAACACTATTCCAAAGAACAGAAGCCCTGTAAAATCTCCTGATTTAGCCCCGATGGATTTTTGCAATTTTGGATGCCTTAAAAGAGCACTTGGAAAGAGACACCCTAGGACAATTGAAGGTCTCTGGAAAGTGGTAAAGGAAGAATGGGATCTTTTGATATGACCATGATCAGAAAGTGTCTGCTATCGTGGAAAATCAGGTGCCGTTCTGTGAATAAACAAAAAGGCTTTCAAATAGAACATTTGAAAAAATTTCAAATAGGGTGTTAATTTTTAATATTTTATAATAAAACTTGTTTCCTATAAGTGTGAACACCCTCTGTATTTCAGTTAGGTGAACGCCAACCTTTATCAAGGTTTTATAATAACATATTAATTTGATAAATATATATATATATTTAATAGAACAATTCATAAATATATCTTCAAATAAGAAGGCATATATTGGATCAAATATAATTTATTTACCAATATTTAGTTGACTGTACGCCAACCTTTATCAAGGTATTACAACATTTTAATTTGATATATATATTTTTTTTAATAGAGCAATTCATAAATAGGTATTTAAATAAGAAGGCATATATTGGATCAAGATATAATTTCTTCACCAATATTTCATCTGGCTGAACGTCAACCTTTTTCAAGGTGTTATTACATATTTATGTCAACCTTCAAATATATATATGCTTTTGAATATTGAGCAATCGATATTTAAATCTTTAGATAATAAAAAAGTCATATACACCCATACATCGCTTTGCGTCGAAGTTACTTTCCAAAAAAACACGACGCAAATTGAAACGACGCAAAGTGAAAATATGTGAAGGCGCAATCAAAAACAAAGGTGTTGCCATATTTTAGGAAAAAAATATTTAAAAAAAAAAATTTTTAAGACTCGAATCCAAAACGCAACTTCGAAAATCTAACGACGAACAGTGAAAATCAGTAAAAATTAAGCAGCGACGCAACTTCGAAAAAACGCAAAACGAGGTATTGGTGTATTGGATATAATAAATATTTTATTCAAGTCAATATATGCCTTTTTATTATCTAAATACGTATATGCGTTTATTAAATTTATAAATCCAAGATATCTTCAGATATTTTCTATTCAGAACGCACAGATTCATAAGTCGTAATACCAGTTTTGGCATATTCGGGCAGATGGCTACTTGTACGCCATGGAGTACAATGGTCAGTGGCTATGATCAGTACAGTGGCATCTACAATTCAATAACAACATATAAGTAACCAAAGTTCCTGGATGCTAACATCCTTCTGGAGGATATATGAAATCAGGCAAATCTACCAAAGAGTGGTTTCAACAGTTGGAATAGCAGAGCCGATCTTAGGTCATTGAAGAACAACAGAAAATGGTATTTATATGCAGAGGATGCATCTCTCCTCTTCCTTCTTATTTATAGTTATTTATAGTCGCCCTTTCTGTTAATCTTTATTATTTCTATAGAAATATTTCTCTTTCTATTCTTATATAGTTCGTATTAAAATATATTTGATGTATATCAATTATTGTTTTTGGAATAGGAATGTTAGGGAAATGTTTTAAAAATTTGGTCCTTTAATATTGTAACGTGGATGACAAGGCCAAGATACCAGAGCAAAGTTGGGGAAAGAGGGGTGGACTCTAGCGGCCCCCGCTGCCATGTGGCAGGCGCTAAAAACAGCATTCCTGTGTGGGGAAGGACAGAGTCTTGTTACATCTACGGCATGATGAGGACGTGGCGATTTGCCTCCGGGCGTGTGGATGGTCCGCTAAAGCGGTGCCAGGAGAGCCTGACATCGGAGCGGCCTACAAGGCGGTGTAAGTCTAGGCTGGACTTGAATAGTGTGGAGCGGGAAGCTTCACAAGAGTGACATCCACGACGCCAAGGATTCTTCTGACGGGGAGGTTGAAGAAGGCAAGTCCAACTCATTGTATTCCTTCTGTTAGTGAGCCATAATAAAGCGCTAACTTTAGCTGGGATCCCTTCGAACTCACATGTGTATCTTTGTGGCATCCTGAGTAGACAAAGTACACGAATAGCGTCTGGGTACGACGTAACAATATTATTGTTTCAGTTATAATATAGGTAATTCATTATATTTGCTCATTATTATATTTGTACATATATGTAGATCGACTTTGTACATTCATTAATGGATTATTGTCGCTTATATTGTCACTATATATTTGATCTCTTTGCGTGTCTCTGTTTCATCATTTATCATCTAAATTTGCATTTCTCCCATATTTCTATATTATTAAAATATACAAGTATCAGAGTCATCAACAATCAATTCTGTCATCGTTTGCTTTTGTGAATGGAATAAATATCCAAATATGGCCGTTTCTTATAAGCATCGGTGGTTCAGTGGTAGAATGCTTGCCTGCCACGCGGGCGGTTCGATTCCCGGCCAATGCATTTTTTTTTTTTTTTACAATTTTTAAAACTCATTTATATTATTAAAATATACAAGTATCAGAGTCATCAATTCTGTCATCGTTTGCTTTTGTGAATGTATGTAAATAATGGATTTCATATTTTTTATTAATTTTTGTTCTGGCCTTTATTCGTTTAAATCTCTTTTTAAAAATCGCTTAAAATGCAGTCGCAATCATTAGCGAACACATATGTTTGCCTAAAATTCCCATATGCGCTTTTATTTTTTTACAGAAAATAATTACATGCCAGTATTTTGGATTAATTTTTTTTATGAACCTTTTTTTTTTTTTATTCTTACTGAGAAGATGGGCATCGCAGTCAGGATTCTTTACAGTCAGTCACTCAACTCAGGCAATTTCAAAGGTTAATGGGGGTTTGGTGGAAAAGCTGCCGTCTATTTAAACTATATTAATTTTGAAACAACTAAATGGATTGCAAAAAAATAATTAAATCAAATACCTAAACACTAATATAATACAATTTTTGCCATTACAACACTTTTTTTCCTGTAGTTTATGTGTCTCTTCTGTATTACTATTCTATGGCACTTCTACTATTTATTATTGATGTACTTTCAGTATGAAGGATACTTCACTCGGGGGATTTCTCGGGCGAAGCCGGGTCATTCTTCTAGTAGTATTATATTTAATTTAAAAAGGCATATATTGGATCGAAATATCATTTATTTTACCAATATTCCAGTTGGCTGAACGCCAACCTTTATCAAGGTATTATAACATATTAATGTGTGTTAACAACACATTTGTTGTTGATACACATTAACATGTTATAATACCTTGATAAAGGTTGGCGTTCAGCCAACTGGAATATTGGTAAAATAAATGATATTTCGATCCAATATATTCCTTTTTTAATTAAAGACTTATTTATGGATTTCTTTATTTTAAAAACAATAGTATGATATGTAATAAAAATAATAATATTTATAAAAAAAGGTCAGGTGTTGATACAAAAAACAAATTAGACATATCCTGATCACTAACATGAGCGTTTTTTAGATGTTTTTTAATAGTATTATTTAAAGATAAAGTACGCTTTTCCCATCAAAACCCTTCATAAATGAATATCCTCACGGCAAAATCTCCATCAATAGTATTATATTAGATAATAAAAGGCATATATTGGATTTAATAAAATATTTATTTTGCCAATATTTCGGCTGGCTGAACGCCAACCTTTATCGAGGCATTACATTTTTGTATACTTAAATATATAGTATACAAAAATGTAATGCCTCGATAAAGGTTGGCGTTCAGCCAGCCGAAATATTGGCAAAATAAATATTTTATTAAATCCAATATATGCCTTTTATTATCTAATGAATTAAGTATGGATTGCTCTATTTTCAAAACAATAGTATTATATATTCAAAATATTTTTAAATATTAATTGCATCTTAGCGCTTCATGGACGATATTTTCCCCTTTATAAAGAAAGGTTATTCCAGAAAGATGGCGCAGAAAGAATCTTTTAAAATTAGTGGAAGAAAGTTATTCCGCGGCTGTTGTGGTGAAATATAGATGTGTAACTTCCAACTGCTGATTGATGATGAAGCTCTTCCATTTTTCTTACTGGCATGAAAGGAAATATCGAGTTGAAAGCAATATAAACACAGAATGCATTCTCAAACAAATCCCAGACTACATTTTCAAAATAATATAGAACAATAAGTCAAATAACCTGAGGAAGAGCACCAATTTTGACTGAGTTTATAATCATATCCTAATTTAAGTGGTTAAATAAGATTTTTATTTGTAAATATCAAATTAAGATATTTTTATTACTGTTTACATATATAAAATTGTTAAGATAATTTTAACAATAAATACTTTGAATGGATATACGACGAATTCGTATATATAATTAAAGACATATACTTTCCATTTGTTCATCAAATTCCTTTATTAAATTGTGAATGAAAATGCTGAGCTTATAGAAAATTTTATTCTATTTATATTATAGAGACTATGGGGGAGGGAAAAGTTTTGAATTTAGATACGCAAATGGAAAATATATCTTTTATTTTATAATTTAATTTATACTTATGTATAGCAATATATGAAGACGCAGAGAACTATTTCAGAAAAGAAAAATATAGCAATAGATCTCTATAATTTCTACAGATCAATTGTAAATAGATTCGTACACAAAAGAGATAGTGAGGAAAGTTCTAGAACAGATGTGTAAATAAATCCCCTTTCAAACAAAGGCTTACGTGCACATGGGGAAAGGGAGGAAAAATTACTGTATTATTTTGTTGTTGTATGGCGAATCCATACAGGGCAATGGGCCCTAATAAAAGCCTTTTTGTTGTTGAGTAATATATATGTCAATATACATACAAAATATTTCGTATGTATCACAATTATAAATAGTGCAACAGCCCCAAAATGTAGGTAAACTTCAACACGCCAGCTTGGCTATCATGTAATCACAAACAAAACAAGTCAGTTCTGTCAAGATTATTTATTTCCTTCCAGGAGGCATCCATAAGTCGTTAGTGAGTTTTACGACCACCACCGGACACCAACAAATAGACCGGACAACAACAGATCATCTCTCCCTCTCTTGCAGACCAGACACCCTCCTAGACCTTGCCGCGTCTTCGGCCGCTGGTCTCTCTGAAGTGTTATCCAACCTGCCTCGTCCTTTGTGTTATTCATAGACGCCTGAATCCACTGGGCCCCATGACTGCAAGTGTTTGTGGTATGGCTACAATATGTAGTTTTATGTGTGGTTCAAGTTACACTTTTGAACTAATATTTTTTTCCATTTCCATTTAGCTGAATATTTTGGGTCATCTTTAAAGATCTCTCATTCCTTTTTAGATTGATATTTGTACAATAATTAGCGACCTAATAAGTTAAAGGTTGAAATGGCGTATTTCGTAGGCTTTCGCTAGTCTGGAGTAAACCATCGAAACATTTTGATAAATATGGTTATTCAGGTCTCTCTTACACATATATTAGTGACGCGCGCACGAATTAAACAAATATTGAATTGCTGAAACGATTTTTTTAATGCACAAAGAGTAAAAAATACTTTTTTTTCAGCCACCATTATTAAACAATAAGATTTACATGGCTAAAAAACGATGAGGGAGCACTCATCATTAATTTCTAAAACTGACTTAGCATCAATTAACGTGGAGTAACTAGTGTTTTTATATGTTTTTCCAAATTTTTAAACCACTCACCTGTTATATGAAAGGCACATTTTTTTGTAGTATTATAAATGTAATTGTTAAATGGCTGTAGCTGGAAGAATCATTTCTCCCTTTTAGTGCAATTTTTAAAAAAGTGTTTCTTAAAATGTTTTAGAAATATAAATTTTATTATCTCGTCAAAAGATGGCGTTCAGTTTTAAAATATTATAGACAGTAGAAGTTAGCTTTATTTTTAAAATCAATACTCTACCTGAGATAATTTTTATCTATTAAAATCATTTGTATCTACAAATTCATTTACTTTATATCCAAGTACCCTCTACTATTGTATTCGGCTCGACGGATTATATAAACAACTAATAATTTATGGCAAGGAGACTTGGAATAGTTATGGACGTAAAAATATTCGATAAATATATCATTATAATATATGTATGTCGTACCACAAGCACTAGCAGTCATGGGCCTTGTGTTAAGGCGTCAATGGGTAAGACAAAGGACGAGGCAGGTTGGATGTCACCTCACAGAGAGGCCAGCGCCAAAGACGCGACAAGGTCCAAGAAGGTGTGATCTCCATGAGAGGGAGAGATGTTGCTGTCCGGCCGTTTGTCGGTGTTGGCGGTGGTCGTAAAACTTCCTTCCTGGAAGGAAATGAATAATTTTGACGAAATCGGACCTCGCCCTGTCTTAGGTGCGGCGGACTCTCAATAAAACTTTATTTATTTGTTTGTGATTAAATGATGGTCAAGCTGGCGCTTTGAATTGTATCCACATTTATAGGCTGTTACACTATTTATAATTATGATATATATGAAAATCTAGTGTATATTGACATATATTACTACATATACATATATGTTTAAATGAATACATCGAACCTTCTTGAATCTATGAAAATGAAGCAAGATTTTTTGTGAATTTTTCATATAATTATATGGGAAAAAAATGAAAGGATATTGTAGCTAAGTATTTATTATTTTACACTAGTATTAACAGAGTATCATTTTTGATGTTTATATTTTACTACTCTGTAAACTTACCTCATTGCTTATCTTTTGTTTATCATTTATAGTTTGTTCTTGCCTTAAATAAATTGCTGTCTCATCCTGAAGTTTGTCTTCCCTAATTTTCCACGTGGCAATATTTTAAAAAGGATTTCAAATAATAGATTTGAATTTCTGTGTTTACATATTTGCATAAAAGTGGGAAATCACCCTGACAACACGGGCAGCCAATAGGATGGCGCCAACGAATGTGAGGATTACACAAGCGGCACGTGGGAGAGAAACTATTCCTTTCTTAAATAAAATCCTTTTTTAATTTTTTTAAACCCTTTAAGCTCTAGGGCCCAAATGCTAACTATCACTATCAGGACCACACTAATTAAGCCTAAACTGATGATCAAGTAGTTGTTAAGTTAAAAATGTTATAAATAAATAAATATGATAGATAGAAGTGTTCTGTAAAGTGCAATATAATCCAGACTCCTCTCTCAACACAACACTCTGATTTTATTATACTGAAATGAGTATTTAATTTTTTAATTGGGGGTTAATTATAATTAATTGAATAATCGACTTGAATTTTTCAAAATTAGGTTTCACAAATATAAAAAGGAATTTTAGATATATACAAGGCTATTTACAAAGCTAACACTTGTGTTTAAAAGCACAGACTGGATGCAAGCCTCTCTTGCACTTTGAACATATGGTTCTAGACCTCCGCTTCAGGCCTTCTTTTGTACACTCCACACATCTACTCTCTCTCTTTTCTGGAAGTTTTTCGAGTACTT